AAACAAGTCATGCACCAACATTTTCATCAACTTCTAGAGCTGTTGTGTGAACTAAGGAGGATGCATCCTGCTGCAGCTACAGCGACACTGCAGGCGCTGAGTGTGCTGCCCTCTAGTTTTAGCATTGTACCTGCAACCTTTTTGGAAAATGACAGCCCTTCATAGCACACAGAAACTGGATCTATGTCTCCATGAAGCATCGTTTGGAGCCTTCTCGATGGTGCTGTGGAGGAAGTGAGCAATAATTTGGCAGTAAAAATCCCTGAACGTGGCTTTACTGTGTGTTCATTATGTGCTCGTGCTCTTTAATGACAATCAGAGGCATGGCCTAATTACTGCCACAGACACCGAGAGAGGAGGGGGGGCGATAATGGCAGGAGAAGGGGGGGGGGCAGGCTGCAAGGTCAACCAAGGTCAACATGTTTATGAGTGTGTGTGTTTGTTTGTCATTGTTAAAAAAGAAAGAATGACCAAGAGCAAACGTAGGTACACACTTCGTGTGTGTGTGTGTGTGTGTGTGTGTGTGTGTGTGTGTGTGTGTGTGTGTGTGTTTAAATGAACGTAACCTTGACTAAAGGGCAAAATAAAGGGCAAATTGGAATAAATGTATCAAATTATGAAGCCTCGTACAATATTTATAAGCAGCGAATCCACTATTCATTACAAAAGATTAAATACCAACTTGTATCAATAATTCATCCTCTTAATCTTCATTTTTAGTGCAATTAAGAGCAGAGGCAAATGACATATTTCACACCCGGCTCGTAGCTAGTTAGCATGCGACTTGGTGAACGTGAGTGCAGCTCTGCAGCAGGCCGCTCATCTGTGTGGAGAATATAGAACATGTGATTCATTACAAAAGATTAAATACCAACTTGTATCAATAATTCATCCTCTTAATCTTCATTTTTAGTGCAATTAAGAGCAGAGGCAAATGACATATTTCACACCCGGCTCGTAGCTAGTTAGCATGCGACTTGGTGAACGTGAGTGCAGCTCTGCAGCAGGCCGCTCATCTGTGTGGAGAATATAGAACATGTGAGGACACATTTATCCAAACACAAAAACAACACTAATGAGTGGGTAGAGCCCAGAGACATTTCTCTCGGTGTAAAATTAGAAATCATGCATCAATTAAGTTTTTAAAGAGAAAACAAACAGATTTTGAGGATTTAACTTCCAGAAGAAACGTTAAAAACAGACCAGGGTCGATTAGAGCTTAATCCGCTTAACTATAACTGAATGTAAAACTTCCATTCCCTTTAAAATGCGTCTATCTGTCCATCTGTCAGTCAATCCATCCATCATCCATCCGTCCGTTCATCCATCCATCTTTCCATCCATCCATCCATCTTTCCATCCATCCATCATCCGTCCATCTGTCCATCCGTCTATCCATCCATCATCCATCAATCTGTCCATCTATCCATCCATCATCCGTCCATCTGTCCATCTATCCATCCATCATCCGTCCATCTGTCCATCCGTCTATCCATCCATCATCCATCCATCTGTCCATCTATCCATCCATCATCCATCCATCTGTCCATCTATCCATCCATCATCCGTCCATCTGTCCATCTATCCATCCATCATCCATCCATCTGTCCATCTATCCATCCATCATCCGTCCATCTGTCCATCTATCCATCCATCCATCCGTCCATCTGTCCATCCGTCTATCCATCCATCCGTCCATCTGTCCATCCATCCATCATCAAACAGTCCGTCCATCCGTCTGTCCATCCATCCTCCACACTTCTCCTTCAGTGGAATCCCCTTTTATGTCTTTTTATTTATCTCTCCCTGTTGTGTCCCCCATCTCTTCATCCATCCTCAAACTATGCGTTCCTGCACCATCTCTCCCCCATCTTCCAGCTCACTCCCTCCCCCTATCCCCCCCCCCCTTCTCTTCAATCCGTCCGTCACTCTGTCCATCCGTCTGGAGAGGGGGCGATTCATGTAAATGTCAGGAAATATCAGAGCTGAGGTGGTGGGATTAGGCAGCGAGGAGAAGATACACTGATACCAGCAAATATAACGCTCTGACAAGATGGCCAGCACCGGGGATTAGGGGACACACACACACACACTGAGGGGGTTTCTGTGTGAGTGTGTGTGTGTGTGTGTGTGTGTGTGTGTGTGTGTGTGTGTGTGTGTGTGTGTGATGAGAACATTGTGTTATGTGACTTTGGTAGTGCGTCACTGCATTTTAAGGATTTGTTGTGCATGTGTGAAGGTTTTCAAGTGACATCTGTAGTGTTTTTTGCATATTGAAGATGAAGGTAAAGGTTGAGAGTGTGTGTGTGGGTGTGTGTGGCCATGTGTGTGTGTTGGCAGGGTGAGTGAACGCAGAAAGAGCAAGCGTGCAGGAGAGGTAGAAAGGTGTTTAATACGAGTGTGAAAGCAGTGTAATATTTAACAGCTTAGTGGGATTTGTCTGTCACATTACAGGGGATTGGACTGAGTCTGCTCGCACACACACACACACACACACACA